CAAAATGCACATGGAATCTCCCTTTACTTAGCTCCTGAGGCCAATGAAAGCTTGGGGCTTCTCTTGAGCTGAAGATCTGAGGCTGCAAAGCAAAAGGATTGCTGAAAACAATTACAAAGAACCTGAGAAAGGAAGCTGAATACAATCTATGAAAGGAAAATGAATACTACAATCAATTACAAGAAGGAATTCTCACAGGAATCCAGATTTGTTTTGGTGATAGTTTATTATAGAGGACCTCCTGTTTGTTTGAGAGGGGGGGGGGGGAGCCCCTATTTACTAATCAGGCGCCAACATTAACCTGATGTGTATGAGTGTCTATATATATATTGTTTCTACTTCAAGTACAGTTGCGTTCCCACCATTGGGTGCTTCCATAGATCATCAGTCTCATATTTGCGCCCCTCTTCCGCATGCCAAAAACGAAGTGACCCATAGACCGATGGCCGTCCCCTTGGACCCAGGCAGCTCCGAGCTCGCGTTGCCGGATTTCTTGGAAGTGGGTCTCGACCCGGAGACCCGCTTCCGGCGCCTCAAGGAGCAGCTGGAGCGGAATCAGAGCGGAAGCAGGTGTTGGCAGTGGTGTTAGCAAAAGGATGGGGGTGCTCAAGGGACATTGGTTTGAAAGGGTGGTTTCTATAAAAGATGGGTTGAACCCATAAAGATACTGTATATGATCATATGTGCAATAGATCATGAAGGATCATTAATGATTGCATATCGTTTTTGTTCCAGTCATGCCCCCGTTCCAGTACTTTGGAGGATCCAGGGATGTGACTTCGTCAGCTGAGGCATTACATCGCGCTGAAGGAAGAGCAGGCGGGGTTTGGATGCGTAACTTGCTGACCCCAAACCCTGACAAGCATTGAGACACTACTTGAGGCGTCTATGGCATATGGTATAAAAATTGACATATCAGCTTCCTCAAACAACAACCGCTCAAGAACACGTGGCGTGCTGTTCAGCAGCATTTGTGTGGCAAGTTGATCATATCCCCGAGCCACGTCTCGCGACGTCTCGCCACGTGGCACGCGGGTTTGACCGGGCGGCCATGCCAGGAACGTTGGGAAGAAGATCGCCAGAAGTTGATGTCGGACTTGGAATCTGAACGCAGCAAGCGCCTCGAAGCGCAGGAGACGTGCGTGCCAGTGACATGTGACATGTGAAAGGGTGGGAAAGGAGATGAAAGGAGAAAGAGTAGTAAAGAGGCAACTGAATTCGCTTGGCTTTGAGCTCCTGGATGTTGGATTTCCAAAGGGCAGATTTTTGACTAGGTACTGTTGGTTGCTGGTTTGGGACTTGGATGCTGATCCCACGTCTGTCTGGTCAGAACTTGATCTCCGCGCCAGGAGAAGGAGCGCCTGGCGCGTGCGGAGCTCCGAGTGGCTGAAGAGGCCCAGGATCGTCTCCGTGAGGAGCAGCGTGCCGCGCTGGAGATGACGCCCGTCCTGGCGGTGGAACGCGTGGGCGTGCGATGAACGTGGGGGGTGGCGATGTGGGTGGATAAAGAATCCGCAGGCAGAGCTTCTTTGGTTTGTTCTGGCGTTTTCTTTAAACACTCTCCTTTGAAGTAGTTTATGGAAGTGCGATGGCATGGACCCTTGGATGACAATGTTTCTTTATGTTTCTTTGCAAGCACGTGAGTGTAATGCAGAACATGCATGCAATTTTGCACATGTTTGGACACTTTGGGAACTTTGGGAAGACCTTTCATGCACAAGTGGGTAATGATGATGCATCATTCTTCCTTTGGAGTTTAGTGGCTGAGCACACTCGTTCGGTTGGACGACTTAGGAAGCTGGATCAGGAAATCTCCAGCCTCTTGGACTTGGCAGTTTGAGCTGTGGCAGAGGAAGTGGCCCATGTTTTCGAAGCTGAGCATCACTTATACTGGTGGCACACTTTGATGGATTGAGTGTGGAATGGCACAGTCCCCAAGTTAGATGGTTTATATGTGGACCTCCATCTCAAAAGACATGACAGGGGGGTTGTGCCATCTACTCTAGAAAAGCACTGTAGCACACCTTGATGGTCACCATGTTCCATACCAAGAGAGGTTAAGTGACCTTATAGCACCCTATGCAGGAGTGTACCTATATGGGATATAGTCTATAGGCTTCTTCAACCTCGAGCTTCGTAGCTCTCTTCCTCCGTGGCTGCCAGCTGGCGCGGGCGGGCGAGGTTACCAGAGCGAGCTCCGGCAGAAGGACGCCGAGATGGAGCGACTGCGGGAAGAGTTGGAAGTCGCCCGCGTGGAATCGCAGAAGGCGCGAACCGATTCCGGTCGTTCACGACCGGCGGAGGGGGTCCACCCGGGTGAACGAGGTCAGGTCCGTTGGTCCGACGAAGATGAGAAAGTGAAGGGTACATGTGACTTTCGCAGATCATCTCACATAATATGAAGTCCAGTGTGTGTTAAGAGTGTTCCTTGGAAGCCCGTGTTGAAAGTGGCATTTGGGGTGGGCACCCAAAAAGCAAGGAGGAAGAGTTGTGGCACGCTGCCGGAGGCTCAGAAGTTGCAGAGTCAACTGGAGATCTTCAAGAAGAGGCTTGAGGAGCAGTAGAAAGGGCAGGGCAGTGGGCATGTCGGGAGCGGTCGCAGTTGGTGGTGCCAGATCATCAGGGGAAGCGATGCGAGTTTGAAGGTGCGTTTGTTGTTTGGGGTTTGCATTGTTTTCAGACTAAGGAGGTCAGCATGTAACACACATTGGTTTGAGGAGCTAGTATTTTTTTCTTGGTCTTGCCATCGATCCAGACTTCCTTTGTCTTTGTTCAGGAGTGCCAAGTCTGGAAGAGAGAGAAAGAAGAGCTCCGAAGGCAGCTGGATGAGATTACCTCTTCCAACAAGGCAGGTTTTGGACCAAACAGTCCATAACAGTCACATTCCGAACAATCAGGTCTCTAGCGTTTCCAGGGTATTTGGTGACCCTTCGGAAGTGGCTGGCAGGATATGGCGGGATAGCAGACAAATGACTGTAATTACAACAAGGTGCACATGTGAAATTCCGCCCTCCAGGTCTTAAGGCTCCATCACTGTGTGTGTGTCCTATGCAGATAAGGTGAGTGTAGACAACTTTGAGAAGAACAACTATTCGATGCAACACTATGCCCAAAGAGACATCATCCCTTTTCCATCCCCCATTGATTGTTCCAAAAACAGGCGCCTGCTTCACTCCGTGACAGACTTGCGTTCACCAGTCGCCATGGTGTTCAAAAGAACGAACTGTACTGGGAGGTGCCGTTCCCAACAGGTTCCCATTAGCACGGGCACTGCACCTCCCTACGGCTCCTCTAGAACCGGCATGAAGCAGCTGTGGGACACTTCGACTCTGCAGAGAGAAGAGAAAAGAACAGAAAAGAAAAGAAACTAAATGAAGAGAACCAGGGGTCACATGTCGGGGTGGTGTTTAGTCCCATCCAGGGGCCGTGGATGTGACGTCGGGGCACCCCGACTTCAACTTCCTCCGTTCGTTTGGCTCCCATCTCCATGTTGACTCCTGGAAGAGAGACCCCAGATATACCATATATACCTACTACTACCCCAGATATACCTCCATATTCCAACCGCCCCCACCGGGTGCCCTGCACCCGACAGGCGGGTTCCGGCACCGTGGAGCATTTGCACGGACGCTTGGCGGCGCTGCGGGATGAGCTGCAAACGGCCAACCGCGAGCGCGACCAGGCGCAACTCCAGGCCAGACCCGCGCCACGCGGTGCGTGGGGCGGGCTTCTTTGGGTCGGTTTGTGCATGTGCGGGCGTGCGCGGGCGTGGGGCTGGGGAATTAGGATCATGCAATTTCTAGACAAGGTGGACACTGGATGCAGGTCATATATGTGAATCCTTGAACTAGGGAGGTTACGTCCATAGTCTATACATTCGCCCCAAAAGTCTGTAGACATCTATAGACTCTAAAGATGCACCACCCCTTGGAATCTCATTGATCGGTGAGTTGCTTCCTTTGGAAACGGATTGGTGTCACAACCACATCAAGAAAGCAGATCTCCACTACATACAACTTATGCCTTTGACTCATAATAATCTGAATCTTTATGCAAATATTCCACACTGGAATGAGAATCGGCCAACTCCAGGTGAAGCTCCTCCAAGGGGAGCTGGAACAGGCCACCCTCGCCGCCTCCACTGGCCCCGCGCCGGCCACGGCGCCCGCCGCGGCGCCGTTACCGGCGACGCTGCCGGTGGCGCCGGTGGCGTCGCAGCTGGCGGCGGAGGAGCGGGAGGAGCTGCGAGCGGCGAACCGAGAACTGCAGTCGCAGGTGGCGTTGAGAGAACGCGAACTTCAAGTCTTTCACTGGCGTAGTCAGGCAGAGAGTAATACCTTGAAACTTGGATTCTAGTGTTTTTGTCGAAGGTGCCAAGGTTTTGGGGTGGATTCCATGATGTTCTATGTGATTTGTGAAGAAGGAGTTTTTTTCAAGTTTTCCTGCAGGGAAACCTGTGGAGGAATATAGTTGTTTTTCTTCTTGCTCGGATGAAGCAAAGCTAAGGAAAGCGCAGGAGTCACTGATGGCCTCATGCTTCCATGAGCTGGGGCTACGACTTCATCAACTGCAGCTGCAGAATGCGCAGCTGCAAAAGCGGACTGGAGATGGTCGCGACATGGATGAGGAGACCTAAATCGCTTTGCATGCCGACTGCAGGATGCAAAAAGTAACCTGCGGCCGATACCCAAATACAAGATACATAAAGAAGAACCAAATCGATTCCCTATGGTGACTATAGGGTCCAGGGCTGCCTTCATGTATTTTTATGCTCACATCGTATAGTCAGTATACACTCCCTCCCTCAGATCCGAATCCGAAACCAGCTGAAACTGCTGGAGGGCGACACCGAGGTGGATGCTGAGGTGTTTGGTGAGCATGGCTCAGCATGGCCGCACCTTCTCGCTGGTGCCGCATCTTCTCGCTGGCTCCTTCCAAAAAGGCTCGAGGTGACTGTAGCTCGAGAGTGTTTCTGCATTCCGGTTCCAACACATTTAGAAGCTTGAGATTGAAGATACGTACTTGAAGCGTTATAAATGGGAGTCCTCCAACGTTAAGGATCCAGCTTTACCTACATCCAGTTGACCATCCCACCCAAGTGAACCAAGTTAGGTGTGTTGTTGTGGTCTTGTCGCACGCATGTAGGTGGGATGCCCATGGCCATCAAACAGTTTCCCGGCCCTCAGAAAAGGTATCCCAAACCAATCTGAACTTAGCATCCACTCATTCCCTGGTAAGACCTACCCAGAGCCTAGAACTCCACCACGCAAGATTCCATCAATTGCAACGCCGCACTTGAAAACAAAAGCCAATTGACCCCCCCTAAGAGGATAGCAACCCCCATGCTTTACCACTGAATCCACTCTTCTTGCCTCAGCCCACGCCACCGCGACCCCTGGAACAAAAAACGAACTACGGCACGGACGACCCCGGATGAGCCATGGGGAACGCGGAGTCTGGCCCCATCGTCCGCAACGCCGACAAGAGGCGGAGACGGAAGACGGAGGGACTGGAGGGACAGAGAAGTCGGACCCACCAGTGGCCGGGAGGAGGAGAGAAGCTCTTCCGAGGTGTTGGAAACTCCAACATGAACTGCGATGAACTGCTTCACTGGGGGATTGTTGGGGATGAAGCCTCTTGAAACGATCGGTATAAAGCCATTTGGAATGACGGGACTTTGGGAGGGAGGGATGCGATGTAGAGGGTTTGCTTGCGTGGAAATGTTGCTATAAGGTCTCAGTTTCCTGGTGAATCACCTCACTGAACTGGAATATCTTCATATGTTTTGCAGCGTTTGTTTACTTGCTTGTCGCTTCTGGATGGTTGATGGAACATGATGGAACCAGTGGTACCGGCCCAAAACTGCCAGGGCTATAGAATATATATAGTGGTTGCCTCCAGCTTTAGGTGTCTCCAGCATCATCCACCACAATGACATCTCAAGACAAGGTCATAGGGACTTTTTAGGCCTTCTTGAATGTGGTGTCAAAGGCATTCCGGGGCAGGAGCCCTTGCTACCTGCTGCTGCAATATTAGCCGTCTCCTCTCTCCAAATTTATTTAGCATTATGAAATACACCTAAATATAAATACCCGTCAGTGACAATGACCATGCAGCGGACGACCTCCACAGCTGCTTGGAGGTCTTCCCGTCGTGAACATCGGGCCATCTTCGAGGCCTTCCGTGTCGTCGAAGGGAGTCTTTGCGAGGTTTCTGAACCGACCGACCCGACTGAGCGTCCAGGACCATCTGGATTTAATGAGTTGATTATAGCGCCAGTTCCACCATCCGTCAGGAGGTAGCATTGACAGTCCATACTGCCTGGAACTGGTAGATTTTGGTTTTAATAGGCTCCTGTATACCATGTACCATCAGACAACATACTACAATTCTTGAAGAAACATCCAAAAGGCCCAAGACCGGTTGACCAATTGAACTACATGAACTATTCTGCAGCATCTTGAATCTTGAACCAACCGTTCAAGTCCAACATGTGTGTGTGAAAGACAAACACATGACGAGACACCAGACCTTCCAATCATTCACACATGATCATTTGAGTTCAACAGCTCCATGAAACGGCTCCAATTCGAACACTTGGAACCCAAAATGAATCGGCAGTTCCCACCACCACCGGCTGTCGCCGGACCCCACCGCTTCCGCAGGCGGCGGCCGAGCGCTTCCGCGCCGCGCCCTTCGAGGCGCCTGACGGCACCGCGCACGGCGGCGGCGCGGCTGGGCGAGGCGTTCGTGTGTGCGTGCCTTGGTGGGAAAAGCGCTGTGGTGAGGCTTGGGATTTGGAGCTGGGTTTGGAGGAAGTCTTGGGGTTGAAGATGGTGGTTTAAGTCGGTTTTTTGTTTGTTGGATTGGTTGATGTTGACATGATCTCAAAATTTCCACTGGTGTGAAAGGTAATGAATATAGCTGCATTGATGCTGCATGTTATAAAGACAGGTCCGCGATTCTTTGAGACGCGGCTTGTTTACAGTGACCTTGAAGCTCTAAGGTTCGAAAGAGACCCATCTTCGAGCATGAGATCGAACAAGGACCTCCCTGCATCAAAACGGGGGGCGCACGAGCGATCGCACCTGCGCGAGAGTGGGGTGCGGGCAGTGCCGGCGGCGGGCTTTGAACCTTGATAAGTGATGTGAATAGGCCACTCTTAGCAACTGCATATTAAAAGTGGACACGTCTTAATTTGTCCATGCCCACTGGAAGACAGTACAATGAGTGATTCTAGTGCTTGGATGAGATTCTCCTTCCGCAGAGATTCAGAACGGCGCCCATGTCTTTTACACATGAAAGGGATCATCCTCCGGCGGTCCTCTACCTGCTGACATGTGCTGACCATGCCAGGAGAGTTCGATGCAATCACCTGCATGGAAGGTCGCGTGGTCGTGCACGATGCGCGCATGCATCCGGATATGGTGAAACTGCCACTTGGTGCTTCACCCTGTGATGCAGGAGAGTCATGCAGTGGGTCCGGTTTTGGTGGAATATATGCAGAATTGGTACGGAAAAAGCATGTGCGGAAGTGAGGAGCCAAATCACTTGCAAGGTGTCAAGGTGTCAACTCTTCTTCGGTTCTTTTGGTCAGTTTGAGACTTTGTTGGAATTTGCTCATAAATACGGTGCCAAATGGATGTCGTCGGTGTGGATTGATACTGACACTGCAAATGTACTGCCCCAGATGTTGGCATCACAAGACACTCTATAGCAACTCGTAGAAAGTTTCCCCCCTGCAAGCTCAGCTTCATAAATTCACCGAGATGGGTGACGAAGGGCTCCAATTGGTCCTAGAGCTCAGGTTTATGAACCATTACGACTTCGCCTTCGATGAGACCTTCGGCGAAGTCGCCAACAACGTAGAAGTCTATCAGGGCACGGCCAGGCTGGGTGCGGAAGCTCCTATGCGCTTCAAGCAAGAGATGGCTTACCTGTGGGCCATGTAGAGTTGCTTTTGCAGAACCAATACCTTCAGGATTAACCAAGATGGTCGTTGATGTATGCCCGTTTCTTCCTTGTTTCTACTGTGGCTTGTGTTGTCCCACAGGTCATTTTACCGGCGGCTGGGAGGTCTTTTGTTCAGCAGTTCAGCGTTTCTATGTTAAAGGAACGGCCCATGCGAGGCAGTTGGTGCTGGATTCCTTGCAAGGGAAGAGTGGCACCGTGATGATGCCCCTCGGGTGCAGGTTGAGCCATGTGGAACCTGTGTGGTCCCAGTTTTAGTCCAAGTTGGTCAATTATGCTGCCTCCCTATGACAACTAGTAATAGAAGACATCCATCAACCCCGCACACAGGATTCTCCTCCAACCCAGTGGTTTTCGGGTTTCTGAATTCAACACAGTTGGGCAAAAGGCTTGTCACTAGGCGCCTGTCACTAGGCATCACACAGGGTGACTCAGTACAGATCCCCCCGAAGTGCTGCGTGATCTACTGAGAGCATGGTTTCTTGAACAGATGTGTTCCTTTTGTGATTGGTTGGGATGACTTTCCACGTGGATCATGATCCTGCTCCCAGGGCCTTATATATAAATACTTGGCAGGTGACATTGTCTACAGAGCCTACAGGAGTCTACAGCTCTTGCCTATTGATTACATTCAATTCTTTAACAATATTGACCGCAGCTCTTCAGATTAGGCTGCCTTGCCGAGGTATGGTCAAACAGGAAGTGGAAAGACTTACACCATGCGACTCTTGGCTGGAACTTGCGGAAACTATGAAGTGGTGCATTGTTTCGGGTGTCAGCATTCTTTTATAGATTCTAGGCAGGTGTCTCATGCTCTACGCACTCACTTTGGGGTGTCAAGACAAGATGCTAACACCATCTAACACTCATCCCTTTTCAGACGGCACCGCTGCCTCGCAGGCTCCGTCTACGAGCAGGCAGCTGAGGACATCTTCCTCGGCGCCCAGGGGCGCTCGGTGACGGTGCCTCGGTGGGATGGCGTAAGGCGTCAGGTGTGGGTGATGGATGAGTTCTTCAGTTGCACCCGTCGGGCGTCCTGTTGAGGGATGAAGCATTCGGTTTTGACGGCCTTGGGTCCTGAATTTGGCTCCTGCATTTCCATGTGTATAATCTGTATAACTCCCGATTTTGGCGACTTATTCCATCCATTGGCTGGAACTGAAGTTCTTCAAACATGTGCGGATGCCGGGTCAGAGGTGAGCTTTATCGAGCTGTTTGGGGAGAACTGCTTCGACATGTTGATGCTTGGCACTGCTTAAGTGAGACCTTTGCAGTTTAAAGCTGTCAGGCTCTGTGTTTGAAGTTTGAACCTTAAGATTGCGCACCTGACCTAACCATGGAAGATGTACTGAGGCATCTAGGACACTAAGAATGGAACATATAGTTTCGGTATGCTTTGGCTATTGTGTGAAAGTGCCTTTTTTGAAAACCATAACATTGGATCAAGTAAATAACACCTCCTAAGGAACCAGGGCGCCCCCTGTCAGCTTACCACTGGACAGGATGGTCGCATACTCAGAAGAGAAATGTGTGGGCATAAGCATGCTCAGCTAACCACATATTGTTGGAACAATAGCAAACGGAAACGCGTTCAGACAATCATTAGGCCTAGTACAGTCCATTCAATTTGGCCTGTCCACTCCCACTGAGAGCAAAGCAAGCGATTGCTTCAGCGAAGTCTCAGAGCACCTTTGTTCCTGTTCAGGCTCCGTTCATCCCTTTCCTTGTGTGGAAGTAGAGGCC